ACAGGACAAGGCAGGAAGTGAAGTTACCCAGGGACACAAGAGGCAGAAAACTACAAAATAAGACAGGAAATAAAACCACACCGTGACAGACACACAACGTCAGATGGCTTGTTGGGTCAGCAAAGGTCTAAGTTGGGAAAACACAGGCTGTGTGTGTGTGTCTGCGTGCAAAGTGTCCATGAGCTTGTGTCATGCAACGCTGTGTGTGTATGTGATCAGAGGTCCTGCTTTGAGGACAGGCCTGCTAACTAGGCCAACAGCTGCTCCTCTGGGTGTTCATCCCCAGTCAGCTTTGAAGTCCTTCTTTTACCCGCTATTATTTCAACACAAGAACATTCTGCATATTCACTGAGGTTATATTGTCGTAGACTGACCACACACACAGACTGTTATTTAAAGCCCTTCTTTGTTGGAAACATGGAAATAAAGCGTCCAGGTGTCAGCTCTGAGGCTGCTTTATGTATTCAAATAGATGCAGGATCTTCTGTGTGGCTTCGTTTGCACGGCGTGGGCGGTTATGATTGCACACCATGAGAATTAGACTTTGTTTAATATTCAGAAAAGCCTCCGCTCTGTCCCTCAACCACACGATGTGTGTGTGTGTGCCCTTTGATAGTGGAAAGCGGGGCCGGTCCCCTCTTTCAAAGAGATACTCAGATTCTTTTATCTATATTCCTTCTTTCCCCGACAAAGATTTATCTTTTTATATCCGAACAAAATGCTGGAAAACAAACACACAAGCCATCTCTCGCTTTGGCCCTCCGACACACAATCTTACTCCATCCTTGCCTTTCTTCCTCCTGTCCATCACCTCTCTGACACACACACAGCGAGGTGCATTGAAGTGGAGCAGAGCATGCGGCTGTAAATCATCCCAGAGGCATGTGTGCATGTGTCAGACAGCCCAGACCACTGAGACACAACCAGAGGGGTGAGAGGCTTCATATCAGCACAAGAGCTGTGTGAATGTATGAAACAGTGAGAGAGAGGAATACAGGTTGAACCAAAATAACTTCAGTGTGTAATTAGAATATCCAACACACACACAGGAGTGTTTGAGGGTTGATAAATGGCCGCAGTCAGCGGCTGCTTCTCTTCCTCTCCACAGCTGGTCTGCCACATGCTCACTTTGTGCGGTTGTACAACGTGTAGTTTTGTAACCGATGGAAACCGGTTACCGCGCTGCAGCGTGTGTGTTTGTGCACATGCTGGGTTTGGTGAGGTTGCCTGAGAGCCAATAGAACACCGAGATGGGAAAGTTTTAGGTTTCAGAACAGCTGTTTAGAGTTGGTTCAATCAACTCGAGTAGGTTGAGCGCGTGCACCACCACAGTATAAAGGCAGCATGAATGGAGCCATGATACTACGATTTACCATGACAACCACCACAAACGGTATATTCACCCCTATTGAGCTGCAAATATTAATGCAAGTATGAACCTGTAATTAGAAAGAAAAGCAACACGGCTACTGCAGCAAAAGACAGAGAAACGGTATAAGTTAATATTTAATGTACACACTAATCATAATCCATACGTTTTACTAATTCCCAGTGGGAAAATTACATTTTTTACACTGTTTGTTAGAAAATTGTTTTTACAGTACACACAGGCTTGAAATACACACCAATGCTCATATTTAAATCACAAGAACATTATCGCTGGTGAAAACTGGTGCAATGGTATTTTCTATTCAGGTGCGTCCTGTGGAACTTCTCTTTAATGGCTTCACTGGTTTGTGTCCAGGGAACAAAGACGTTTCTCACGGCTCTGCATACAGCAGCTTTACTAATAATCTAATGTTGTAGGAAAATGCCGTTTGCAAAAAAAGTAATTCTACACAAAGAATCTGCTTGTATGTGAGAGCACGTCCACGATGGGGGACGTTACTTACATGAGGACGGGTGAGGTCATGGACATATTTGATGGACTGTGAAGAAAAACGATACCGTTCATTACATGTCATTTAGCTGACGCCTTTATCCAAAGCGACTTACATTTCATTTTCAACCAGGATCGTCCAGAAAAGGACGCAACATGTTCCAGAAAAAACTTTATAGTCTTTAACGTAACATCTTATTTTGTTCATATGTGTAAACTGCGCTACAATCCGCCTGATACTAAGTGAATGAATGAATGAGGAAATGAAAGCGCGCTGTGTGATTGGCTGCGCTGCTGGCAGAGGGAGGAGCCTGTGGAAGGAGAAAGAAAACCAGGTGATGTTCACAGGCTCAGTTACCATGGTGACTGAGCCTGAGCTTTAGTTACCATGGTGACTGAGCCTGAGCTTTAGTTACCTCCCTTTGTGAAACAAGAGTTTCCCTCATCTCAGGGTGAACAAACTGAGTTTCCACTAAAGCCGCCTCTTGAAATGGAGCCCAGAAGTGGTTTACAGTAAAGAACCAGGGGAGCCGGGAATGTTGGTAGTCAGGCTGGAGGTGCGGTCAGCAGAATGAGAGCAGGTTGTGGAACCAGACAGGCAAACAAATATCTTAAAAGTTGTGGAGAGAGCAATTGCTGAGCGTCATGCTTTTTAGCCGTAGCATAAGTTCCACGTCTGAGGACTGACGCTCTGGCAAACTCTGGACTGCGGGGCTGGAGTACGACCCGTCCTCATCATGCTTTCCGGTGGTCATCGCTTGACCAGATGCTTGACCACAGAGCAATTAAATGTCTCACAGTGCAGCCTGATCTCCAAAACCTGTTCGTAAAAATGTATACGAAAATCTTGAACATACAAATTTCGTAGCGATACATACGAAAAGGCGTCCCCTATTCAAAGTGAACGGGGACCTGCACCCCGTAAACACACTTTGTGAAGTCTAACGATGTAAAATAAACGTGTTATGATTGCATTTTTAACGAGAAATCAATGTTAACTTGTAAGAATAGAATACTAACCCTAACCCCCTCCAAAGAGGGGGAGAGGCGGAGAGACGTTCACTCAAGAATCCCACATGGTCCGCCATGTTGTTCACTCAAGGGGCGTGGTTAACCCCCGCAGTTCGTGTGTGTCACTACAAAATTTGTATGTTCAAGATTTTCGTATACATTTTTACGAACAGGTTTTGGAGATCACGTTGCACAGTAAGGAACGTTGCGATCAGCTGATTTTGCACAATTCTCCAGTGTGTGTGTGTGTGTGTGTGTGCTGTGCACAGAACTGCAGCAAGTTGCCGGAGTTTTGGTACAACGCCGTTGTACATATCGACGTTGGCAGCAGCCCCGTCTGCTTAAGGTCTGTTGCTTTTTGGACTCTGACAGTAGTTGACAAGCAACATGTGTAAGATTTGATAATATGATCGGTCAAGTACGCAAAGGCGCGAAGTAACACAAGTGGCACTACGCATTGTTGATTTTCGTCGCGCATGCGTACCAGTTATGTGCACCCCTGTATGTATATAATATATATATGTGTGTGTTAAGAATTACTGCCAGCCATCCTATCTAATCTATTTGAAACAACTGACTGCACATTTTGCAGAAACAATGCATTATTTTGTTGATAAAAGACATCTTTAAAAAACATGAATCTTTTGCAAATTTATTGCATATGAACAAAAACCACACTGTAAATTGGGTACTAATATTCTTGTAATGTATTTTATATTTACCCTTGTCCCGGGTATGTCACTATAAAGATAAATACCCCTGTTGAGAAGCAGTACTAACATCTTCATCTCCTTTGACAGCGAGCGAACATATTTACGTGAAGTGTAAGAACACATAACCTCAGATAACGAGACATGTTTCTTCCGGGACGACATCTTTGTCTCCAGAGTGAAACTGAGCAAATTCACAGCAGTTTAGTTCACAGCTTCTTTTTCAATGTGTGCGGTAGACAAGTGACAATATTCGCCGTCTTCCTCACTTCAACTGGCAGTGTCTGTGAAATAGAAAGGGAGGACAACACGCATCCATTTGTCCTTCAACATAGTAGACGTAGGATTTTCTCTTTGACGGTTCATTTTCAGAATCGTTGTCCATGATTATCTCTTTCGGAATGCATGAGCATTTCAAAAAAGACATTTTGCAGCAGAAAAGAAAAGATTCCGACATTGCTGCCATATCTATGGAAACTATCAGAAAATAGAAAGACAGGAGAGGATGACGGGTAGCAGGAAATGCTGCCGGCGGCTTGCCATCCATGATGGAAACGAAGGATGGACCCGAATAAATCCAGGTTGCCTTAAATTCAACCTACCTTCAACTTTCAGCCAATCAAAAGGTCAGCGAGGAAAAATAAATCTGCACTTTTTTTTCTAGCTAACTATAACTACAGTGCGATGTGCGCTCTCCTTGAAAGCCTAAACAACTTCTGAATACCTTAGATTCTTAAATAAATGTTAAAGTGATGGCAGCCTATCGGAGGACCTGAGCAGACACCTGGCCGAATGGCCACTTCCCTGACCTGGTATCCAACCCGAAAACCTACCTGCTGGGTGGCGACAGTCATTCCACAGTCACACTATCCATAATTATATGATTTCTAAAAGAGGAACGGCTCATGGGCTTATGTTTCAAACAAAACACTTATATAACACTGGGCTGCATCTGGCACACACCTGAAATGCGCTAGACCAGGGGTGCCCACACTTTTACTTCTCACAAGTTACGTTTCAACTGACCAATCCACCCAGAAGAAACGACTAGCTACAGCCTAGAGCCGTCCAGTGTGCACTCTCTCTCTTCTGCTTTGGGAAGATCTAGGCTGATCCAAACAGTGTTCTATATTGTTGCATAGCGGCAGAATAAGTAGCCTTTCATTAAAGACATTAATGAACACACCTCAATCCCTCTGCCCTCATGATTTATTAAGAGGCATGCTTCTCCCCAGGAGAGCAACACTAGTAAACCTGGGAATTTGGTCAGAGACGAGCATATCGACGAACTGACAGGCATAAATGATGAAAAGGTCTCACTAAACCACTCACACACATGTTACAGAATAAGTGCTGAAATTGATCTAATCATTAATCATTTGTTTTTTAATCTCTTGCAGCTCTGATATCGGCTGGTTGCTGCACCAACTCCTGTAGTAGCGTAAAGCTTTGGGAAAGGTGAGTCGCATTCACGCACTATTGGCTCCTATTTTTGGCTCCACCTGCCTGTGAGATATATTCATAGCTGCTGAACGAGTTGCTTACTTTGGCTGTCATGTGTTTGATGCCGAACAGGCGTAAGGATAGAAAGTTTATTGGGCCGGTAGTAGTAAGAAAAACCGGAAACCTGACAGCATCAGGGCATTCTTATTGTTCACTCGTTTTATAGGTGGGTTTTTTTTTCCCCCCTTTCTTCAACCTCCCCCTCCCCGGGGTCTGTCGCTCAACTGCCATGCCCCTGTGTAGCGCCATGACATCTACAAACGGGGGCTGTCGTTTTGTCTCATGGAATGTTAAGAGAATCAATGGAACTGTCAAAAGAGGCCGGGTACACATTCAACATCTTAAAGGGGACATTATTTTTCTTCAAGAACCTCATTTTAAGTCCTCTGATGTCTCGCGCATCAAAAGTCCGTGGATGGATGTCATATTTTATTCAAAAATTTCAAGAGGGGCAGCTATTATTATTAGTAAAGATGTAGCATTTGAACTTTCAAAAGTAGTCAAAGACCCAAATGGCAGCGTTGTAGCAGCCTCAGGCAGATTATTCAATACCCGTGTCATATTAGCAAGTATTTATGCCCCTGTCTGGGACGATGTTAGATTCATCACCCATCTCTCCCCGACGTAGACAGCCATCATCTTCTTGACAGATCCTCCTCCAGACTACACACCCTCTCAAATTCTGCAACAGCACTAAAGACATGCACAGGACAACTTGGCCTCAGTGACCCATGGCAACATGCTAACCCATCTGCATCTCCCACCTTCGAGAATTGACTTTTTCCTCATTGACAATAGACTTTTACACTGGACCAATTCCAGTACTTACCAGAGTCCAGTGATCGCAGATCATGCCCCTACTTCAATTGACATGTGTTTCCTTAATCACAGCTTTTTGCCGAGACAGTGGAGGCTGTCTCCCACAATGCTATCTGACTAGCAATTTAAAAGACTTTTCTCAAAAGGAATTTCCATTTTTACGGATCAATGACACCCCCAACAATGCTAGAAGAGTTCTTTGGGAGGTATGTAAGGCATACCTATGGGATCAATCTCTTAAACAATCGGCCAAGTTGGTAGAGCTATCAGACCAACTTAAGGAGGTTGATACAGAATATGCTAGCACTCTGCACCTCTGCACTTTACAATCAACACATCAAGCTCGAGGCAGAGTATGACCTCCTGTCAACAGCTAAGATGGATAAGGAATTGCTACACTCAAAACAACGTTATTTTGAAATGGGGAATAAGGCGGGCAAACTGCTGGCTCACCAGACCAGGGCTATGGCGCTTTCGAGGGCGATCCCTATAGGATCAGATCGTCCTCTGGAAATGTGGTGACTGACCCTAAGCTTGTGAATGATCTCTACTCATCAGACTGCCCACCTGAGGTGTGGAGGGGGCACAACCCTTTGGACTTAATCCCATTCCCTAAAATCAGTGAAGACGTACCTGACAATCTTGGAGTTCCTATCTCGACGATGAAAGTGCAGGAGGCTATTAAACTACTACAAAATGGCAAGTCACCAGGCCCAGATGGGTTCATAGTAGAATTTTACGAAACCCACTCCGAACTAGTCTCTCCTCTGCTCACACAAGTATATAATGAATCATTTACAAAAGGAAGGTTAGCCCCAATGCTATCTGAAGCCACCATTTGTCTCCTACTATAGAAGGACAAGGACCCCCCTAATATGTAACAATTACAGGACAATATCCCTTTTGAACGTTGACCAGAACATTTTAGCCAAGGTTTTATCTATACGTCTTCAGAAAGTTCTACCATCTCTGATCTCTGACACTCGGTCTTAAGAAACCACTTATTCTCACCATCAGTGTCCTTTACGCCTGGCGCGAGAAAGGCTTGTGTAAAATCAGGGACTTTTATGACAATGGAGACTATATGAGTGGCAACTCTGTGGCAGGCAGCGGCAACCGCCAGTAAATCAGTCGCAAGTCCAATTTGATTTTGCCGGACTGTCATCTAGGTTTGACTTGCCTAAATCTTCCATTTTCCACAGATTAAACACTTCAAACAGAATACCCTCACATCCCCCTGAATCGATGATTGACTCCTTGCTTGCTCTAGGTCCCTTGCAAAAGCGCACATCTGAATTATCTATGGTTTCATTAACTCCCTGAACCCGGATGAGACCGCTCATTTGAGACAGACCTAGGAAAGAGAAATTGGTAATCCAATATCTGACAACCGTTGGGCTCACACTCGGTCACTATGCCACTCCTTTTCTATTTGTGCGACACATGAGCTACTACACTATACAACCCCTGTCTGGCCAAAATGTACTGGAATACGAATGACTGCTGCAACAGTGGCAAACTGTCACCAGCCAACCATACCCATATGTTCTGGTTCATGCCCAAAATTAAAGAAGTTCTAGGGTCAAATTTTAACAGTTGGTTGTTTGAGAACCTAAATAATGTAAAACTGGAAAAGATCGGATTTTCACTAAAGGCTGGCGCGTCGACGCACTGGTTTCACTTCCTGGTTGTAAAGTCGTGCGTGTGTTGCAGAGCGATTCACCTCCAGAACAACAGGTGGAGTCATGTGTTTTGTTGAAGACGACCTGGAGAGTCACGTCTTTGTGTGTGGAAGTCGTTGGTTGCTTTATTTATTGATCATAGACTTTATTGCCCCGTCCATCCACACTGCTGCTTTTCATCACGGACACATTTGTCCCGTATTTTCTTCCACGACTTTGTTCCCCTCGTTTGTGGAGATCTTCCTCCATGAATCAGAGGCCATCCAGCGTCCTTATAGTCCGCCAATGACGGCTTGTAGAAGTGCTCATATTTATGCATTTCTTCAGACAAAAGTTCTTAAATCTGATCCGTTCTCTCGTAAACATTCTTTGTTTTAATAACGGCCGTATTGTGCTGTGAAAACGGAAATGTGACACTTTTGCGCTGCGGGAGGCTTGCGTCTCTTTCGACGCAAGCCTAGAAGAATTGGTCAATGCACGCGGGGAGGTGTGAAAAGACACGCAAGGGACACGCAAGGGCCTCTTGCATCTGCGTCGCTCTGTAAGAAGCAGAAGCATTCAAAACAAAATTTGATGCCTCCTATATACACATGTACACATACATCCCCCCCAAAAAAGGGGGGATGTATGTGTACATGTGTATATATATTTAAATTTAATTTATAGTGTACCGTTTGCCGTTTCTTTCAAGTCATATCTCCTGAGAGCGATGTGTGTGTTTGTTAGGGTAATATGTGATTAACAACTGAGCATAATATCCGGTTAATCTTCACCCTATTGAGGTAGCCACGTTCTCCTTTTCTGTATGGAATATGTTGTAAAAATCAGTAAAAAAGATTTATATAAAATTCAAGGCATTCTTAACTGGCATGGCAACCATTCCATATGATTTGCTGTTAGTGGGACCAGCATTTGTATTTCAACAGGAAAGTGAGCCCAAACACACCTCAAGGCTCAGTAGTGGAGTGCTGCGTCACGTGACCTGACCTCCAAAACACTTTGATTTGATTTGATTTTAAAATCAGATTCTAGTTTCTTTTTTTTTTCATTTACCACATACTTAAATATGGGCTCCTTCTTAGTTTGGATGTCCTCAGTATTAATCTACAATATAGACATCAAAGGGCAACTCAATATCACCCGAGGAGGACGTTTTATTCTACAATTGGACGTAAACAAGTGCCCTCAAACTCATGTTCTCAATCAGCTCATTCAGTAGCTACGGCTCTGAATCCTGGAGCCATTTCTAGTGAAGGTCATTTTGCTTGTTTGTGTGACTCTCAGGGGGCACCGGCTGCAGGGTAAGTGATTGCGGCAGGTTAATATTCAATGATGACGTTATTTATGGGTGAATAAATCAACCTCCCATCTTTACCTGAAGACTTGTCTTGTTGTTCTGCTGAGATCAGCGTTGATTCATGGGAACATTTATATACAAAAACACATGTATATGCATCCCCACACAGTAATTGTTTCCCTTCTTGTCTTCCAGCTTTGATGCCTCCTAACCCCAACATGCCTAGTGACCAGATGCTGCCCTCCCCCACCCCTCAGAGATTGAAGAAGAGGCAAGCTGGATAGAAGAGGGAGGCATGAACAGGGTGGAGAATGAAATAGAAATTCAAGAAACCAAGCAGAAAAGGAAGCGAGGATTAGTAAAACAAGGCAACACTTGAACAATCCCTGCTTGCCAAGACTGCAAATGCTGCTGCTTTTCCAGAAAAGACAGAGGGCTTTTTCCCTGTGTTGCCAAATATGAAAAGACAAACATTTTATGAATTAGCAAAGATTTTTTGCCTGGCAAAAACACTAGTTCTACCTCTTTGGAAAGCCAGGGGCCCGTCTGGAGCAGAACCTGTACATGAAGGAGTGATACCGGACGATACAGCCCCCTACTCATCACAGTCACAACACCATTGATTGGTTTGAAACTCAACATGTGATGATGACTGGAACTACTTTTACAAGTCATTGCAGACCATGAAATTTAAGCGCACAAGAGAACTAATTTAAAAGAACAGATTCTATTACAATTCTGGTTGTTTTGTAGCTTCATTTGAAGAGGCATTGTACTCATCATTGCTGAGACTTGAAAGCAACATTATTACGACTGTCCCGACAGGGGGAGAGACACAAGATGTCGGACAATCAGGATTGAAGAACATTTATTGCCAAAATATGTGTCAGACATAAAAGAAATTTGACATGGCAGTAGGTGCATAACATCAGACAATGACAACAAGACGTGAGACAAGAAAATGGCATGTTCAATTCACAATTTAACTCTACGGAATAAAATATAAGGCTGTGGGGTATAGAACAGACAATTTAAAAATGATGGATAAGAAGGAATTTAAATTAAAAATAAGTTAAAAATGAAAGTGATACACTCACAACACAGTGTGTAGAGTATGGTTATGTGAAGTGTGCGAGCGGATGACACGCTGCAGCCTGCCCTTGTCCTTGGCTGTGGCTGCAGTGTACCAGACGGTGATGGAGGAGCAGAGGATGGACTCCATGATGGCCGTGTAGAAGTGGACCATCATCGTCTTTGGCAGGTTGAGTTTCTTCAGCTGCCTCAGGAAGAACAACCTCTGCTGAGCCTTCTTGGTGATGGAGCTGATGTTCAGCTCCCACTTGAGGTCCTGGGTGATGATGGAGCCCAGGAAACGGAAGGAATCCACAATAGTGACGGGGGAGTCACACAGGGTGATGGGGGAGGGTGGGGCTCTGTTCCTCATGAAATCCACAACCATCTCCACTGTCTTCAGAGCGTTGAGCTCCAGGTTGTTCTGGCTGCACCACGACACCAGATGGTCAGACTCCCACCTGTAGGCGGACTCGTCCCCACCAGAGATTAGTCCAATAAGGGTGGTGTCATCCGCAAACTTCAGGAGCTTGACGGACTGGTGACTGGAGGTGCAGCTGTTGATGTACAAGGAGAAGAGCAGAGGGGAAAGAACGCAGCCTTGGGGGGAACCGGTGCTGATGGTCCGAGAGGCTGAGACATGTTTCCCCAGCTTCACGTGCTGCTTTCTGTCAGACAGGAAGTCTGTGATCCACTTGCAGGTGGAGTCGGGCACGTGTAGCTGAGAGAGTTTGTCCTGCAGCAGAGACGGGATGATGGTGTTGAAGGCAGAGCTGAAGTCCACAAACAGGATCCTGGCGTAGGTTCCTGGGGAGTCCAGATGCTGGAGGATGTAGTGGAGGGCCATGTTGACAGCATCGTCTACAGACCTGTTGGTTCTGTAGGCAAACTGCAGGGCGTCCAGGAGGAGGTCAGTGAGGGTCTTCAGGTGGATCAGGACTAGTCGTTCAACAGCCTTCATGACTACAGAGGTCAGGGCGACGGGCCTGTTGTCATTGAGTCCTGTAATCCTGGGCTTCTTGGGGACAGGGATGATGGTGGAGGCTTTGAAGCAGGCTAGTAGTGTCTCCAGGGAGGTGTTGAAGCTGTCTGAACACCGGACACAGCTGATCAGCACAATGCTTCAGGTTTTGGGGGGAGACAGAGTCCGGACCGAGGGTTTTGTCTTTTAAAGAGCCTGTCAACGTCTCTCTCCAGAATAGAGAGGGTCTTTCTGTTGAAGTTTCTCAGAGTCTTTGTCCCCACTCCTAAATGCCTGATCCTTCTGCAGGCGTAGTGTTCTGAGTTCCGCTGTGAACCAGGGTTTGTCGTTGTTGTAACACACCCTGGTGCATGATGGTACACAGCTGTCCTCACAGAAGCCGATGTAGGGAGTTACAGCCTCTGTGAACTCATCCAGACTGTCAGTAGCTGAAAACATCCCAGTCTGTGCAGTCAAAGCACGCCCGAAGATCCTCCAGCGCCTCACTCCTCCTACATGAATTCCCTCACCACAGGTTTGCAGAGCTTTAGTTTCCAGGGTGTTCTCCTCTCTGGTGGGGCATTTAATAAACTGTCCGTACTTAGGAAGTTCATGGGTGAGATTTCCTTTGTTAAAGTCCCCAAGGACAATAACTAAGGAGTCCGCGTTGGTCCGCTCCACATGCCGTATCTAGTCGGCGAGTGTCCGCTGTGCCTCCTTTGTTCACTCAATACAGCTGAGGAAAAAACTGCACTGACCCACAACTGCCTGGCCAAACGACTGAAGACTTAAAAGTCTTGGGGGTGCTACTTTTAAACTGACGTTTTTTTCAAAGCTCTTATTTATTGTTTTTGCTTACATGGAATTTATTTGCCTCTACCTTTTATATTTGCCTCTGCCAAAGTAAATAATGGGCAAAATGAACAAATGGTTTGATGTAGTCCTTAGCTTTAGTACAATGTTGTTGTCACAGATTATGTTAAACTACAAGACTAAAAGCCAGAATGTAGTCAATATGAATTCAACTTTAAACCTCTGACAAACACTATTATTCATTTGGAGATACAGCACAGCAGTTACCAGTCCGGCTAGCATTGACCTCTGTTTGATGCTAATAAGCTAAAAGAACAGTTGCCATATTTGGAAGTATGCAAAGCTTCTGTTTCAAATCTTGTTGTCAAACATGTAGTTCTGTGGCATTTACAAAGGGTGTTGTAACTAAGACTCAACCAGAGTATAGCTGTGTGTGTGTGTGTGTGGTAGGGGGGGAGGGAAATTGAAATATGTCTGTTTAGGGGAGTAGAAAAGGTTTGCTAATTTACTGCTCCTCATTCAGCTTTTGTGTCGAGATCTGTTCCTATACCGGCAGTGTTAAGAGTATTCTAAACGTTTTGTCAGCATTCAGCCATATACATCATGCTGTGTGTTTGTGTGTGTGTGTGTGTGTGAGAGCTTATTATTTTCCACACTATTGGGTATTTCGATATAGACAACACGCCTTGGGCAATCCCTCACAGCATGTCAAGGAGACATGCAGGTTGAGATGAAATCAAATAGGTCAGGAAATGAATTATAACAGAGGAGAGCCACAGACCTTTATTTGGGGTCTACATCCTTTTAAACGAATGAGCAGACTCTGACACGCCGCGTTGGTCATAGCTCATAGATCTGGGGCTCTTAGCTTCCTAAAAAGTACAATTCTTGGATTTAAAGAACAATTGCTCCCAAATAGTCAAACCCTCCAAATCTTTTTTGACAGTGAAGTCAAAGTACAGAGGCACCAAATCAATGACATAGAAGAACAGAACTCCGGTTTGTGTGAAAAAAGGGTTTGGAATGATTTCTTTTAGATCCACCAGGCCGGTCAAGTGTCGTGACCGGCCGCTCGGTTATGCCAGGATTAGGAGGAAGTCTGTCTCTGCCAAAAATACGTGAGGTGCTCTTATTTTCTCTTTACAAGCGAGTATTTTCACCGCCAGATGAAATGTTCAGGTCGTGTTGTCCAACTGAAACTTGATACGTGGCTGTGTGGAAGATGTGGCTCTGTAATGGCTCACACAAATATACACATTGGCCTACAGACATCCACACATATTTATCCTGAATCCGTACTGTATAACCTCTTTACCCCCCTTTTTTAGATTTGGTGACCAGACAGGATCTATATTATATTATATCAAAGACATTAATGATTTTCAAAGTCAAGACTAGTATATCTGCTTAGTTTTATAAACTATCATTTTTGACTTCTTGGGTATTATGTAACAAATGATTATAACCACAGATGTATGTATAAGCTAATAAAGTTTCTTTATGTTGAATCCACTCCTTTGTTATTGTATCTATGTGCTTTTTTTATCACTTTATTTTTGCATTTTCAACACAGACAGGAGTCACACACTCATATATAAACACATATACATACCCATAAGCACAAAGAAAAATGGGAAAAAGGGGTGAAAAGGGTCTGGATGGCTCTGTACTTTCAATAACGTATATTTCAATAACAATAATGTGCTCTTCACCTATACTGTCGTTGAACTTCCATTTGTCACGACATTGTTCCTCTTTGGTTCGGATTCTGTGGGTTAACAGTTCCATATGGTTTAGTTCAGTCACAATCTTCATCCACGCCTCTATTGTTGGTGGTTCCGTCCTTTGCCATCTCTTTGTAAAGGCCTTTTAGCTGGCTGCAGGATTTTCTACAGATACCTTCTTAACACATCATCTCCTGTAATATTACCGAGGTAAAGAAACATACATGACTTAGGTACACTGAAAAAAATGATACTTTGGACCAATGATTGGGGATAATATAATTAATTCTATAAGCGATCACGGACGAATTGCCATTGCCATCCAAAATTTCCCTCTTGAGGGATCAATAAAGTATCTATCTATCTATTGATTACAAAGGTTACTAGCCTCATCCGTTGTGAACAATGCAGGCCATTTCTCTTTCAACTCCTCCTAATTCCTTTCCCACGATTTCTTGTCTTCGCAGTCAAAAGGCCATTTTGTCCTTTATCACTGCACAATCATTTTGCTTCTTTACTTCGCTTAAACGTGACAGTCTCCTTTTCTAATTTGTCTGGGGTCTCTCCAGTTGGTATTTTCAGGTATGTGGTTGGCCTCTCCTCTTCCAGGTGGCTTAACTTTTTTTTCTGGCAATGAATCTTCTGGAGCTTTGGACTTTTGGACCGTCTTCTGCTACCTTTTCCAGAATACCTGACTTTGTTTTTGAACTGAGAGTCAACCTTGTCTTGTTTGATCTACACACAACAT